ACGATAAACCAATTAACTACATGAATATATTTAGAAAGTTTTGGAACATATTCCACCCAAAAGCATATTTTGAGAGTACAACTAATATACATTATTGGGACCCATGTATTGGAAATCATCGTCAAAACTTTTTTGTCTCTTTAAAGAACATAAATTCTGTCTGTTACAAAATTTCCTCTTCCAAGGAGAGTTTAAATGGTTCAATGCACTTTTTTCAGAAGAAGAGAAAACATCTTCCTCCATTGAACCTGAAGGTATGGACACCAGCCTCGGTTTGGAATTAGACTCTGACACCGAGGAGCAACTTGAGATGGAATCTCCATAGCCACTGTCTACGGAACCGCTGTGAATTCCGCTTTCAGGCTTTTGTGTACCTGTGTCATTTTTTGTTTCACCAGATGTTGCAACATATATATTAGAAATGTCTGTGTTTTCATTAAATCTCCCCGTTTTATCATCACACTTTTGGGTAACTGAGATTTCTTCGTCGGATGTTATGATGTCAGAGGACGCTTCAGATTCAGATGATGGCGAGTCCTCATTTTCCGACTCCACGTTTTGATTAGTAGACATTGATTGTATGTCTAGGTCCAAACTTTGATGACGGAAAATTTTCTTGTTAAATTTTCCAGCTTCAAAATCCTGTAAGCAAAAAAAATACTGAGTAACTAAATTTATTGATAATATCATTTTCTTTATTCGAATGTGTTTAGGTATAAAACTATGTTAGTTTAAAAGATTCTTTGCAAACTATTTATGTCGGATATATAATATGTTTGAAATTATTATAGATAAAATTATTGAACCCTGTATATGTTTGAATGCAGTGTATGCTTAATTTACATTAATACATAAATTACATCAGTATATCATTAGTATACAGTTATGGAATGGGTATGAGGGAAATAGCTAACTTATTAAGCTAAGCTAAGGGAGGAAACTATTTCCCGAGGCGGCGAAGCCTCAGAGGGAAATAGTTTCCTGCCGAGGTTAACCATAAATAAGTTCCCATTCCATAAATATTTTATTATACCGAAACAATCATAGGAGATATAAATTTTATGAAACATTTCGACATAAAAAAAAACACTATGTAGGCATGATTACAAAATATGCGGTATTACAGATAGTATGGTAATTAATGCATCGTGTCCTAAAACAGAACAATTAAATTGTTTTTAAAAAGTATTTTCACTGATATTTCGAAGAATTATCGCTGTCTTCATTTTGCTAGAATTCAATTAATATTTTGACATCGCATGCTGAAATGTTTTGATGTCATAGTTACATTGCTAATAACATGACGCGATTCCTTGAACGCTCCGCCCAATGAACACTTTGATTGGTTAAAAGAAGGTATGGTTTCCATATAAATTTTGCCCTGTGATTTTCTAAAAAATGAAACTGGTGTAAAAGTTGAAAACTCATGCTTTTTAAATAATTGAAATTCAATGCAGAAAAATCATACAAGTCATTTTTCTCACATCTGTTTTCAAATGCTAATTTGACGTCATAAACATGTGCATTTTCGTATTCTTAAAAAGTTGCAGAAGACACCAATTTTTAAAATTTTCTTTCAGATAACATTGTCCACAGGCATCGCCCACAAAGATCTTGAGATATGTGATTTGTTATTGAATTTTGCACAAAATATCAAAAAATTAACGTGGGCGACGGCTGTGGACACTGTTTTCTAAAGGAAAATCACCCTTAAAATGTGCCATTTTAGGCTTTTTCTGTTGAAAATAGTGAAATGCTTCACATTACTGACGTCATATTTGCAGAATGGTAAACCTTCATGCCATATTCTTTCCTGATTTATCAGAGTCATTTATTTAACTAATATTAAAGCCAGTTTCAAAACTTTTTGATGTCATTACATTTTTAGGGCGCAATAAAGCTAAAACCATACCTTCTTCTTACTAATACATATTCATGAGGGAGTAGTCCCAGGGAGTATCTCTGATTTTCCAGGGAGTAGTCCTCTGATGAGGGAAATAGTCTCTTCTCGGGAAAATATAGTTTTATGGTATTAATTTTATATAGAGTAATTACAGTAGAGGTATAATAATTAAACTTCTTTGTACATTGTACAAATATTTCATCTTACCTGATAAAACTTATTAACTTGTTCTACTTCCCTCTCATCCTTATTTAATCGTTTTAAAACTGTTTTGTGAGTCTTCTTAATTTGATCATAAAGGACTTTCTTGTTCTGCCAGTTGGTAAATCCCCCCTGCTCTATCTGTGTTCTAATCACTCCGTAGTTTAAATAAGCTTTTCTATGGAAACCTGCAGCCTCTTTTGCTGTTAACAGAGAATAAAAATGTTGCTTGTATTGTATAGAGAAAGCAAACTTAAAATACATGTAAATGTAAAATCAAATAAATACTTACAAGGGTCCCCTATCTTTAACAAGCTTGTTGCCCTCGAGACAAACAGGAAACTTATTCCATGGTAGGATGATATCAGATTTATGTGGGGTGGATGTACATATTGTTTCCATATATTCAAACTTTCTTGTAAATCTTTTTCCGAAGCATCAAATTTTTCTTGTACACGATAAAGAGTCCCCCTCATTCTGAGCAGTCTGGCTCTTTTTTCTGCTCTTGCTGTATCCAACGAGAGAGCCTTGTTGAAGTAATTTTCTGCTTCTTGTAATGCATCCTCATTTAGTCGCTCTTTATTCCACTCTTGAAAGAATGCACTTCCTATGTTTGTCAGGAAAGTGTCTTTATCGATGTAATCATCATGTTCTTTCACCACTAAGGTAAGAGCTTTAAAGTGGCAGTCTCTTGCAGTTCTATATTCTTTGGATTTAAAGGCAATAACTCCCATTAAATTGTAAATGGTTGCAATTTGTGACCAACAATCTCTATCCTTTTTATGCATTGCAGATAATGCCTTTTTCAGGTACTGTCTAGCTTCACCATAATTTTCAAGCATGCTTAGATATCGTGCCTGCATTGTCCAAAAATCACCCAGAATCAATGCTGAAGGATAGTCTCTGATCTTTTTGTCATGATTTAAATCGTAAACTACTTTTGAGAGTTGTTTATCTTTATTTATTATAGAATCAATTTCGTTCAAAATGTTACTGCATCTCTCTAGTCTATCATTATCAAAATAAAGTTTTGCCAGGCAAGATTTATAATATACAAGGTCTAACATATTGCCTTCTTCTTCAGCACCAGAAACCATAGTTTTGAAATATTGACATCTACGAGTTGTGTCCAAAACTAAATCTGTTATCCATTCAGTGTTTATAACACTTAATGAACTGGGAAGATCGACAAAAGTAGGTCTAGGGTTTGTATGCAAATGCATAACATATTCATAGAAAGTTTGAAAATGCGCTTCGTACTTGGCAATGGTTTTCAGTGATTCAACAGAAGTCATTTTTGCCGTTTTTTGGATCATTTTATGTATATATTCGACATATCTTTCCTTTGCCTTGTTAATAAGGCTTTGATATTGTTTCTCTTTTGATTTTAGGAATTGAAAAACTAATGGATGAATGTAATAACATTTTGATGAACATGCTTTTTGTTGATGCCCTTTTATATCTCTATCAATTGGTTCTTGCTGAAATAAGTTTTCGTCGGTGGATTCTAGGAAATTATATCGTTTCAGATAGCCGATCTCAAGTCCCAAGTTTGCTTGACCTACACTTGTTCTTCCACAAACAAACATTGCAGCCTCGATATCAAATTTTATTGTTCGAAAAACAGACAGTTGCATCAAGGTACACGTTCTTTTAGCTTGTTTGTCCGATTTATCCAGCACGGAGAAAGAATGCTGTAGACAAGTTTCTATTCCCATGATATCATTCAGAATCGTTGAACTGGTGTTCAGCAAAAAGGTTTCTATAAGTAGACTTGGAGAAATGTCATCTAATACTCTGCTTAGAGAAAGTATAGCCAATGGACAGTACGAACAGAATGATGCTATCTTCTTTAAATCCTTCTCATTCTATATTTAGAAAAAAATATGCATTCATTTAGGAGAATGGCATATAAAAAACTTAAATGTAATCAATCTAATTATTAATCATATAAAGAGGTTATTTTATATTTATACGTCTTAACTTAAGTTGTACTTACACATTGTATATTTTGTGTGGTCAACTCTTTCTTGAAAAGTGTCATCGCTTGTTCCTCCGAAAGCCCCTTAACTTTAATTTCAACGAAAACCTCTCGAAGAATATGTGATTTCGGGTGGAGAGACTTTGACGAGAAGTTATTACAAACCTTGTCTAAAAGTTAAAAATAAACATCCATTTAGATCCAAGAAGATTGATAACTTCGTCCTAGTATAAAGTATGAAAAATAATCAGAATTAAATTCTTTTTTTTTTTCAATTTTCTCAACAAAAAAAATCATGAAAACAAATGACATGATAATTTACCTTCCCTTGATGCATTTCATCCTTCTCGGCTTCAATAAGCATATTTACCAATTTCTTTAAAAAGTTTAATAATTCTTCCTCATTGAACTTTAAAATGTCATCCATATTGTCGAAAAGAATCAGTTTATTGTGATCTGTAAAAAAATATTTTTTTAAAAAATCATAGATTATTATATGCAGCAAAAAAAATAAATAAATAAATAAATGAATAAAAATTTAATTGTCCGAATTTGATCTGTCATTTCCATTTGCATTTAAAAAGGTAGTTAATTAAGATAATTAACATTAGGGCTGGGCAATAATATCGATATTTCAATATATTGCAATACAATGACAAAAAATATCGTATCGCAATACGATTTTGTAATATCGATATATTGGCAAATGCTTAGATTAAGGAACATTAAATATAAAAATGGACTTATAAAAATTTGCTATTAAACCAAACAGTAAGTCAGAAGTTGTTTGTGGGAACATTTGCATAACTTAAATGAATTCAACAAATTTTTTTTTCTGTGTTGGTTACTCATCATCATAAAGTTATGTACATTCTGCATGTAAATTATTAAAAGTAAATATAGTAAGAAAATGCCATATTTATTACATTGAAAATATTGCAAAACATATCGCAATACAGTTAAAAATATCGCAGTATATCGCAATACGAAATCTCGGGCCAATACCCAGCCCTAATTAACATGCAAGATATGTTGAAAATAAAGAAAAAAAACACAATGTAACATGGAAATTGATAAATCATTTTTCTTATATTTATGTTTAAATTTACCAGAGCTTTCACAACATTTTTGAATCAAACGTTGTCTCCATGAGTCTTGATTGATATCTTCAAAATGGTCCTCCTCATTTAATGTGCTTGTGTACTCTAAGTCTACATCTGATAATTCTCCTCTATACGACGTCATTAACAACTCACCAATCAGCGTAAGTGTACTTCTTACGAGATCCCGCACTTGTTTCTGTTCTCTGGTAAATTAATAAGACTAACAATGAATAAAATAATTTTAATATTTCCTTAAATATACAACAAACTTTTCATACATTATTCAAGCTTAAAACTTATTATATTGAAAGCAAAATAATACTATGATAAATGTTTAATTTATCTTTTTCCAGGAATTTTTTAAAATTAACTTCAGTGTTACATTCAGTAACGATTAAATTCCCCAAAATTTTAACTTAGTATCAGTTTTGTGCCAAATAATCTCACAAATTAACCGTTCTATATTCAAAATTAAAAAACGAAAGAGGCCAACATAAAAAAAATCTAGTATTGTATTAGCATAACTATAGGTATTAAAATTGTCTTATGATCGTGGGTGTATAAATATTTTGTAAAGAGTAATTTAACCGATACCAGCTTCGTGGATATTATTCTTTTAACATGTTGACTAATTCAAAGATATCCTTCAGAGAAATTTGTTGTTTAACTGGCTATTTGAAGAACTTATTTGTTTTTAATTACATATACTAGTGCTCCGAAATGCCCTTTTATAGTAAATTGACATAATAATTCATTTGATATCAATAAGTATCAAACTAACAATAATACTAGTAGTAACATGTAGTTTTGAGCGTAAGAATCTATGACAGCTGCGTCCTGTATGTCCTACTCTATGTGGCAGAATGCTGGAGAATGACAGAAGGATATATGCAGATTTCCTATTTTCTACAACAAATGCCCATTGAAAAGCAAACACATACGATATGAGAACATTATTGACAAATCGGAGATGACAATGCATGGATGGGGCATGTGTTTAAGAAAACCAGGCAGCCAACAACATCACCAACATATTAAGAATGGAAAAGGAAACCTGATGAGCCAAAGAACAACTGGTTAAGGACTGTGGAAAAGAAAATGAGAGACAACAAACTTATATTAGGAAAATCGGAGAGAAATGCTCAAGAAAGATAGAATTGTAGTCCTTGGCCTAATGTAGGTAGGCTTCATTGCAATGCCAGGGGTTATGAGTCAAAACGGTGCCGTTAGGTTCCTGGCATGTTTCATTAGATATTTGCTTACTTCTCTTATTCAGAAGTACAAATTAAATTAAAGTTTTCATAAACAATTAGATAATGTAAACAAAAAGGATTCAGTTGATACCTCAAATGCACGTGTTACAAGCTGTTTATTACAGAATGATTTAATGTGTTTGGCTGAGAAATAAGAAAAACGATCAAGATTAATATTTTGTCTGAAAGACTTCGCCTCAGTCAGCTCACGAATACTGAATTAAATATGCTAGAGGCCTAACGTTATCGTGTTGACTTAGGACCACTGGCATTGCGAGGATGGTACATGTAGGTAGGTAGTTATAAAACTTCTTTATATTGAATGAATTATTGGCAGGTATGTAGTTTTAAAACTTCTTGATATTAAATGAATTATTTATGTCAATTCCAATGATAGAGATAACAATTCAATAAAGATAACAATTCAACATCAAAAGTGCTTCAAACAATACAAATCATACGAAGAGTGAACACGAACTTATAAATCATCAAAGGTGTGATCAGGTGTCAATTGAGGTAGTATCCCCTGCCGAACGGTCATAAATTATCTTTTACTAAAATAATACTTCCTTTTTTCTACATAAGTATGGTCGTGAATGTAAACAACGTCAATCATTCATAACTTGAATTAAACCGAATTAAATCATCACACAGAACACTTAGCCAACAGTCGGTAAATATTTGTTGCAATCAATACCTTAATTCTACTTTGTAGATTCTCCAATGTGATGTTTCTCCCAACAGCCTTCTACAAACTTCATCAGCGACACTCGTTTTCCCCATTCCTCCCAATCCGCAAAACCACACACCTACAACAATTTTCGGAAATAAGAAATTACAATTCCATTCACCTACAACAATGTTCGGAAATAAGAAATTACAATTCCATACACCTACAACAATTTTCGGAAATAAGATATTACAATTCCATACATCTACAACAATATTTGGGTAATTGGAAGTTATAATTTCATCAATTCCTTACATGCACCTACACCAATACCGATGAAAAAAATATACATCCATGCACCAAGTACAATTTTGAAATAAGAAATTTCAGAAAATACAGGTCGGTCCCCTGACCGATAGCAAAACCGATCTTTAAAAATTATACAAATTCATACACATCCAACAATATTAAACTTAGAAATTCAAGCTTTATACACCTACGACAATAATTAGGTTATTTATACAAATAATACTGTAGATAGAAATTATCGAATGCACACACCGACAACAAATTACAGATCCAAATATTCAAATAAATGCAACAGTAAACGGAAAAAGAAGAACTTCCAACACACTTATACACCCCTACTAATGTTATTGTGATTTAAATACAAGACACGTGGTTTAGGTTGATCTATTCAAAGGTTATAGGGTAGAACCGGTTTTATAAATAAAATTGGCAGTAAACATGATGTTTCTTTTGATAACGTGTCCTGTAATAAATGTTTCCAGACCTTTCTGAAAGACTTTCATGATTTTCAACAGAAAAGGGGTGGCTAAAGGAGGGGGTGTTAAAATAGCAATATATCTTATACTTTTCGGCGAAAATTAGACCGATTCGCTGGAAAAAAACAAAAAAAGATAATTAGCATCTACACTGACAAACCTTTGTTTGCCTTATATGGCTGTTGTTATAAATGCGGTATTAGAATTGATGCTAAAAGTAGTTGAAACTGTGAAAAAGTTTACCCCCCCCCCCCCCCGAAATAGGATTTTCGACTTTGTGCAACTATTTCCTTTTTTTTTTTTTTTTTGCTTGTCAACTTTTTCAGGTAAGTAAAAAAAAATTCTCTGGCTGCCCCCCCCCAACTTTCAAAAACGATGCTACGCAACTGTTTACCATTAGATTTTCCTTTTTTTGCAAGCGTAAAATTCCTGTAGTATTCGTAGTAGCCCATAATGCAATATTCATTCAGCTGATTGGTCAGTTAAAATCATGCTGGTGCCTCATTTGCTAATCTGACGCCAATAAATATAGTCCCGGTTCCCATGCAAATATTTTTGTCCAAAAAGAAATTTTAATTCATGACTGCAGAAAATTGTATCACAGAGAATACGTATTTAAGTTTGAATGAAAATAAAAGAGAACGATTGATTGAAGTACATTGAAGTGCATTTCTACAGACATTATCAGCTGATTCTAGGGTGGTGAAAACTGAAACGCAACATAACTTTTCTGTTTACCATGCTTCCACGTGCTAGTCACTTCCTAGCCAATTTACCCTATCTCGCTGAAGTCTCGCTAACTCTCGCCAGAGCCACTGCCAGTGCTACTCTGAACTCATCGGGTTTTATGATTTGCAGAACATCGAAAAATAAAAGGTTCCGAACACACTTGTACACGGCGGAGAATCTACGTCATCGGACGGGATTAGGACACACAAAAATGGAGGACAAATACTCCGCTTCGATGTAAGAAGTTGATATTTTTGCACTTATAAAGAATGAATATTAAATCAGTATCCTGCCTAAAGTATGCCACAGAACGTCAACTACAATAGACAATGTACGTTTGTTCGTGATAGAATCTTATTGTTCCAAACACTTCGACACAGTTTGAAAACAAGTGAGAAAAA